TATTTTTTTTATTTTTTACTTCTTATTTATTGTCTTCGTCTTTTTCGTTTTTTTGGGTTTTGATTGTATAATCATTTACCCAGTACATGTAAGGTTATTCTCGTCTTGCTCTAGGCAATGCACTACCAGAAATAAATTTCTCAATGGTGCAACAATAAAAACTTTTTCTTTTACAAGTAACATTAAACTTCAACAACTCCACCGAACAAACATAGTAAAGAGCCTTCCTTTTACAGACTTTAACTAAAAAATGACTTTTTTATAAGGATGCTGAACCCATTCGCTGCCGATCACGCGCCAGCGCGTGATATGATTATATCAGTCAGGTGCCATTCACGCACCAGCGAGTGATATGTCTAGATTTTTTATGAGTTGTGTAGTTAGTTCGACATTAACTTAGTGCTGAAGGGGAGGCACCGTGCGAAGGTTATAATCTACATTATTTGTACCCTGTTTTGATTTTTTTGTTTTTGGTTTTAAGTAGTTATAAAAATTATGACAGAAGATAGATAGGAATACAGAAGTAGCAGCACCCTTACGTCATAAAAGAGGTAAATACGATAATAAAAGACCTTTATCTGAGGTAGAATTATTAGCAATATTGGAAGAAGAGTTGTCTGGTAATGCTGTAGAGTATTATGATTTTGATTGTAACAATGATGACAAGTTTTTACTTAATAATTCAGAGCATTCAGACTCAGAAAACGATATTCTTCTTCTAAATGTGTCTATCTTCTAAAGATGTTGGCGACCACATTGACACATCTTATTCTATTCACAGCAGTTCGAACTAGATCAGTTGACGTTAGACCAGTCCCAAGATTGGCCAACCACGATATACGTCTACATCCAGGGCCTCCCTTACCCTCAATCTTGCCCTGTAGAATCAACTATAAAAGTCGGTATTTATCATTACGCATGATGTAGCCGAAGTTACCCTTTTCTGCTTTTTATGGTGTTAATAATTTCCTTGGATTTTCCTATCCTCTGGAGAATAGTTATGTTACTTGTGTGGTGTATATATGAGACCCTCAACATACGTCGGTAGCACCACATTTTAAATCCCTCCAATCGTTTTATCACATCTTCTGTAAGGCTTCAGCTTTCTACTCCTTAGAGGAGGACACTAAAGACGTAACATCTGAGAATTCTAATGCGTATATTGTTATATATGTTATAGATAAATTGCCGAGAATCTTCCTACGGCTGTTGAAAGAGCTTCTGGCTTTTTCAATGTGAGTTTTTATTTTTTAGCTGTGATCCCAAGCATCCTTAATATTGCAGCTCATATAGCATATTTTTTCCACTTTTTCTAACTGTGTATCGTTAATTATAATTTTGGCGTTTATGCCGGTGTTCTTACTAATGATCATTTTTTTTTGTCTTCTTGCAATTTAGTTTTAGGCCGTATTTGTTTCATGCTTCTACAACGTTATCCATCATCCTTTGGATATGGACCATCTGCCAGCAACACTGTATCGTCTGCATATCTAATGTTGTTTAAAAGTTGGCCATTTACAGCCATCCCATCATCTGATTCGTCCAAGGCCTCTCTAAAGATGTTTTTAGAGTATATGTTAAATAATGCCGGTGACAATATGCAACTCTGTCTAAATCCTTTTTCGACTGTAAAGATGTCGGACAGTTTATTTTCTAATCGTACTGTTGCTTTTTGTTGGACATAAACTTGCATACACATCGCAGTTGACATCCCTGGCTCTCTGTATTAAAATTTGCAAACTAAAAAGTGCTTCTCTCGTTCCGAGTCCTGCTCTGAATCCAAATTGAACTTCACTCAGTTGTTCTTCTAATTTGGTGTATATTCGCGAGTGAATGATAGTAAGGAGTACTTTAAGTACATGGCTTATCAAACTGATTAATCTATGTTCTCCACATTTTATAACGCCGGCTTTTTTAGGAGGAGGAATGAATATTGATAGTAGCCAGTCTTTTGGTAAGTAACCAGTCTCGTAGATGTTGTTGAATAGCTTCATAAGAGCTGTGATTTGGTGTAACTCTAAAAGCTTTTACATTTCACCATTTACCTCATTTACCATCAGGTCCTGGTGATTTCTCCTCTATAATCCTCTTAATGGTCATAGTTACTTTTTCGTTTGTTATTTCTGGGTCGTAGGGGTTGTTTATTTTAGTCGGACTTCGTTGTGCATCTTCGATTAATTCTTGCATATATTCTTTCCATCTTCGTAATTTATCTTCAAAATTTGGCCCTTAATTTCTACAGAAGTGTTTCAACTTCCATACATTTTTCCGTCAGCCATATTTCTTTTGCTACTTTTATCTCCTTTAGTATAATCTTATGCAACTTTTTGTAAAAAGCATCATGGAATATTTCGGACATGTAATGAGAGGTCCCAATTATAGATTGCTACAAAATATCATGCAAGGAAAAATAGCAGGCAAACGCAGTCCAGGACGAAGAAGAACCTCATGGTTGAAGAACTTTCGAGATTGGTGTGGTGTAGTTACAAGCATGCTATTTATGGTGGCAGTAGATAAAATTAACCATGATGGTAACCAACGTTCGGAAAGGACATGGTACATGAAGAAGAAGAACTTTTTGTATTCGTTGTCATTTCTACCTTTTAATTTTCTTCGCTCTTCCATCATCTGCAATATTTGATCTGTCATCCATTCTTGCTTCTTTGCAGAAAACGATATAGATGAACAAATAACTCGAACAGTTTATCAACAAGAAAACATAGAAGAATTGGAATGGAAGAATGATTCAGGATCTATGACATTTTTTCATTTTACGAAGACTGAGAATCTACTTGAAATTATTCCAGGAAATGAACCCATTAATTATTTTAGGTAAATTTTTTGTTACTAATTTAGTGCCAATCTTTAGCTCACTTTATGATTTCAAACATTCATTTAGTAGTCAGTTTCCTGATGAAATTGTTACACAAACAGATAACTAAATTGTTAAATTGTTAGTGAGACCAAATACAAAAAAAATCACGTATTACAATGTGGAAAGATGTTACTCGAGGCGAATTACTTGTATTTGTGGGATTATTATTGCACATGGGGAATATTCGTCTAATCAAAACTATATTCAACATTATTGGAAAACTGACTATCTATTTAACTTTAATGTATTTGAAGAGGATATGAGAACAAATCGTTTTCTTTTACGACTGCGATCCTTATATTTTGCTGAAAATCCTCCCGAAGGTGAAGTGACTCCAGTGGACAGGTTGTATAAAGTAAGGAATGTTATTAAATACTTTATCTCCCGAATGTCTCAAATTACCTAGGACGTTAACTTTCACTCGATGAATCCGTGGTGCTGTGGCGTGGTCGTCTAAGTTTTCGCCAATATATAAAAAACAAACGCCACAAATATGGAATAAAATTATATATGTTGACGACATCTGGAGGAGTAGTATTAAATTTCATGGTGTACACAGGCATGTTAGATGATTTTGGAGGAAAACGACACAGAAAAAGTTGTCTTAAATTTAATGGAAGAATTTTTAGTTATTGGACATAGTTTGTATATGGATAATTATTATTCTGGGATTATTCTGGATGAAAATAATAGACAAAGTGTTAAAAAAATGAAACTGTAGCAGAGTATGCGAATGTCGCAATGATTAGTAAATGGGAAGATAAGAGAGATGTTGCATATACTTTCACTGAATATAAGAATGATATATTGGAGATCTTAATTTAAATAAAACAAAAGTAATGACAAATCAAAATATCACAATCGACTTAGATGGAAGTGAGATCGAAAGTGTCGAAGAGTATATATACCTAGGTCACACCATCAAACTAGGCAAACAGAATCAAACAGCAGAGATAACTAGAAGAATCCGAATGACTTGGGCAGCAGTAGGCAGACTCAGTGATGTGTTGAAGAACAAAAAGATACCAATAAATCTAAAGAAAAGGGTATTCAACAGTTGTATTCTACCGGTCATGACTTATGGAATGGAGACCATGACACTTACAGAGTTGTCAGCCAACAGATTAAGAACAACACAGAGGGCCATCGAACGAGCTATGTTGGGAGTATCACTGAGAGAACATATACGAAACGAGGACATACGAAGCAGGACGAAGGTGGAAGATGCAATTGGAAGGATTGCACAAATGAAATGGAACTGGGTAGGGCACGTGGCACGGCAAAACAACGACAGATGGACGAAAAACATTGTACATTGGAGACCACGCGAACACAGTCGGAGTAGAGGAAGACCACAAAAACGATGGATAGACGACATCAAAGCAAAAATGGGGAGAAACTGGCACCAAATAGCACAAAACAGGGAAGAGTGGAGAACTCATGGGGAGGCCTTTGTCCAGGAGTGGATGCAAACAGGCTGAAGAAGAAGATATTGGAGATTCTTACAAAACTACAAGAAAAGAAAGTAAAACCGATTCCAATTATCCAATATAATAAATATATGTCTGGTGTTGGTGTAGATAAGCAGGATCAGATGCTTGCATACCATTCGAGTGAAAGAAATACTCTTAGATGGCCTTTTAAAATTTTTGGGCATATTTTACATAAATGCTCATCAACTGTATAATAAATATTCCGGATTAATAACCACAATTTACCGGTTTCGATCGTCAGTGATAGGTGCACTGTTAAAGAAATATTCTGAACCTACAGCAGTTCTAATCACATTTTCAAGATACGATAAGAAAAAAAGGATGGAAAATTTTTGAGAAAGCAGTGTAAAAACTGCTACAAAAATGCAAAAGAAAAGATACGATCTACATATGTTCAACCTGCCCTGGAGAACCTGGCTATTTGAATTTGAAATAAACTTAATATTCTGTGCACAAGCTAGCTCGGCGGCATGGCCGCCATGTTATCCTCATGGTATCCTCATGACGGTCAAGCCTCGAATTCCCTTTATTTTTAGAGTTCTCTTTAAGTCAAAAATGGTCAAAATATTATTTTTGTCGACAACAAGTCATTGTGCTAATACAAATTAAATAAAATTATTTGTTTTTTTTAGCACGACTAGTTAAATGGACTTTTAATTTGGTAAAAACAGTTTATGTCAATTTATGCTGTTTATACACTTGGAGTTTGTGAACTATTCTTGTCTCTAATAGTAACTGTCGGCATGTAGATGATTATAGTGATGAGGATGAAAACTATATGCCGGATAGTAGTGACTATAGCAGTGCTGTTGAAGAAAAAATAGAATTTGTTCCAAATTCTAGGTCTGAAAATACAGAGAGGAGATCAAAATCAGCTAATACCAGTATTAATTCTAACATTGAAAGAGTTTATTTACGAAAAAAAAGAGCGGAACGTAAAAGAAATCGAAACTTTAGAAAAAGAAAAGCTTATATAATACCAAAAATAAGGTCAAACTGTCACGCTACATAAAAAAATTGAAGCCCGTAGAATTAAATGCAATAACAAAATTTCAGAAGATATACAAAAAGCTATTCAACGAATATTGGTCTATGGGTAATCGCAACAATAATGTTTTGCATATATTGTTAGACTCCGAATAACCTAAAAACCACTAGAAAAAGGACTTTAGGTCCGGATAAAGAAAAAGTTCGAAAAGTGACTCATGTTTTTCATTTTATGATGAATGGCACTGGAATTCCAGTTCGTAAAAAATGTTTTATGAACACATTTGATGAAACAAATATAAATAATAGGGACTCAAATACTCCAGGAAGAATAACTGATGACCAGCGAGGTCGTGATCCTTCCGCTAACAAGGATAATGAAAAAACTATTCTAATCTTTAGAAAATGTACAAATTATACTGTGTAGAAAATTAATCACCTGTCTCTAGACCTATCTATGAGAGTTGCATGTAATGAACATTTCATTTAAAAAACCTGAAGTAGATACGTGCCATAAATGTGATGTGCTGAAGCTGAGTAATAATATAATATAATCTTAGTTGCTGAAAGCGAAGATAATAAAACTAAATTAAAAGACGAGATAAGTATTCGTCATACTGCTGCAGAAAATGTATATATTATGAAGAGCAACGATACAAAAAAACCAAAATGTGATAATACTTTTAGATGCCTCACTTTTGACTAGTTACAGTGTGTCCCAACTCCATACGTAAATTCTTCTGTTGCCTTTTACAAAAGACAGTTATGAACATATAACCTAACTATTCATGAGAATGGAGAAGAAAGTATAGTATGTTACATGTGCCACGAAGGTGGAGAAGAAAGCGGGGGGGGGGGTAACAATATAGCTACATGTATTTATAAAGTATTGTTATCACTGCCACCACATGTTTCCTAAGTTACCCTGTACTTGGATACATGCGGTGGTCAGAACAAAAGTTTGTGTAGTTTTGTGTTTTTAATAACGCAAAGTAACACTAATTTAGAAGTTATTGACCATAAATTCATGGTGAGTGGACACAGTCATATGGAGTGCGATATTGATTATGGATTGATCGAAAAGAAAAAAAAATGGTTGTGTTCCAATTAGCTATCCGCATGACTGGTATCAGCTTGTGAGAAGTACAGGAAAAAAGAAGAAATTCACTGTTGTAAAACTTTACCATGATGATTTTGTAGATGTTTTAGATCTTTTGGAAAGTAACTGTCTAATGCGTAAAAAAGATACAACAGGAAATCCTTTCAATTGGCTTGATATGAACTGGTTTCGTTGTACAAGAGAAAAGGAAAAAAAGAAAAGTTATATTCTTTATAAAACATCACTTGATGAAAAAGAGGCATTTTTAACGCTAAGCGTAATACGTAGAAGACAAACTAATGCTAGGTTGGTACCCAACAATTTGTATAAAAGCACTCTTGCTGTATCAACTGACAATAAAAAGGATATGTTGGATGTTCTTTCTCTGATAAGTTCAATATTACACGATTTCTATAAAAATTTAAAGATGATGCTAATGATGTGATTCGAGATGACGAAGATTCATCTGACGCAGAGTAATACTTTTCTTCATTAAGGGACGTAGCTATTGGTCTGCCGAAACAGTATTATCTTTATTCCCATGTTTTTCTATGTTTTTTTAATAAATATTGCATGAATGTATTTTATTTATTTATTTTTTAATAAACAACAGCTTTTCTGGGCTAAACAAAATAGTATAAGTCATCTGGTACGTGTGGTCCAAATAATATAAGCCTCATTTTTTTTGTAATTTCCATTTATTTAAAAAAATATAATACTTTCTTCAAGATTAGTATTTATTCTGTGTACTCCGATTTAGGAGATATGACAATTAATTAGCTTCAGAACATAGTTATTTATCGTTTTTTGCTTCTCCTGAAAAGTTGACTAAATTGACTTTACTTTTTTTACCGAGCACCCTAGATTTAATGTCTGTATTTTGCTAGGTATATTTCATGCAGATTTTAATTTGAACCTACTTATAATAAATATATGATGACTAGAAACGAAATGATCGAGACTAGTGAATCGATGTGAAGAACCGCTATTTTGTGACGCTACACGTAACGCCTTCTTCAAAAATGAACAAATTTTTGAAGCGAAGTTTCTATACTGGCGTTATAGTACGTTTTACTCTCTACGGCAAGCATCACGGAACTATTGCCATGAGAATGCGCCACAGGTTGCGTCACGAAATAACGGTTCTTCACATCGACCCACTACTCTCGATCGATTCGTTTATAGTCATCATATATTTACTCCAAGCAGGTTTAAATTAAAAATTGTATGACAAATAACTAACAACATATTGACATTAAATGAAAGATCAAAAATTAAAAGAATATCTGTCGATAAAATATTCGCTTTGTTTGAAAAGTCATAAATGCCATCTAATTAATAACAATATTAATCATCTGTTTAAATTTTTTTGACACTCGTTTTAAGATAATTTCATATAAATACAATTTTATTATTATTAAACATCTTTTTTGGTTTACATAATTATTAAATTTACTATAATGATATTTATTTATATTTTAATATTAACTTAATATTTCGTCTGAATTTGACAGGTTTGTCAAAAGTAAATAACGTGTGCTTTGGCAGTATGTTATCAGGTGGCGTTAGGAGCAAATAGTAGGAGCGTTAAATTATTTTAATATAATATAATTTGTTTAAATAATAAATAAGAAAAGTACTTCATTCGATTTTAAAAGTATTTTAATCTATAAATATAGAAAACACTATATGAAGATTCAGTCTACTGTACGGCTTATTGCACCATCTTTTAACTACATTATTTATCTACCTTAAAGTTTATTTTAGTTTCATTCTATATCTTCTTATACTTATTTTCGTTTATAAAATCAACACGAAATTTCCTTTTTTTGCAGAATGAAATGTTGACTCATTTCGATACATTTCGAAGCTGTCATTTGCTTTTTAAAGTAACGAATTAAGATTGACAGTGTTCTTTATTTGGAAAATCCTTCGAATTATGTACACGAAAAACCGCTATCTTCTAAAAACTCCTTTATCAGCAAACATTCCTATTATACTATGAACCTGAAGAGGTGTTTAAGTAGAAATATACAGGGAGCGTAAATAAATAGGTAAAGCACGTAGTTTACTAACTTTTCTGCTATACCTTATAGGGACTTTAACATTAGCTGAATATAAGCTTCAACAGGTTAAAAAATATTGATTAACTGGAAAAATAAGGTTTAAACGAGATATAATAAAAGAATAAAGGATCGATCAACATAGCGAGAAAATGGTAGAACTGTATAATACTAGAATTCAAGATAGCTAAATGAGATAACTTAGAAAAGAGAATGACTACTCGCATACAAGACTTAACAGGCTTAATATACTAAAATTTAAGACATACTGGAGGGACAAGACAAGAACTAAGTAACTACATAATTAACGAAAAGATGAAAAGACACACACCAAAATGGATAAGAGAGCATGGAGACAGACCTAAGTCTATCCAATGAGAAGAGATAGCGCGCCAAAACAACAAGGCGTTGCCAAATTTGTCAGGACCGGATTTAACGTTTGCTAGTAGGTACATACATGGGAACGATAATCACAGAAAATAACGATTATACTGCAGAAATAAGCGTCAGAATTGAAAAAGCACGTGCCAACTTTGTGAAAATGAAAAAGATTTTATTCAGCAAAGATCTGACATTGGCCCTCAGAATAAGGCTAATTAAATGCTATGTACACAGTGTACTCTGCTATGAAGCTAAATCATGGACATTAAACCTTCTTCTTATGGTACCTTATCCAATTAGTGGATGTTGGTGACAACTCTGGAATACTCCTCGCGATCTTGTGTGACTCTAAAAAGTGGATAGGCATCGATATTTGTCCAATCTCTTATGTTTTTAAGCCATGAGTATTTCTTTCTTCCGATGCCTCGTTTTCCTTTTATCTTCCCTTTTATAATAAGCTTTAAGAACTAGTACTTGGAATTTCGAAATATATGTCCAAGATAAGCAGTTTTTCTTCTTTTTAATATTAGCAGCAATTCTCGTTCTCTGCCAATTCGATTTAATACTTCGACATTTGTTGTGTGATCTGTCCAGGGAATTTTAAGTAGTCTTCTAAATACCCACATTTCAAAGGCCTCCAATCGGTTTATCACATTGGCCTTTATGGTCCAGGTTTCTACACCATATAGCAGTATGGAGTAAATGTAACATTTTGCAAAGCCATATCGAAGCATTAAGTTGAGGCTGTTGTTGCTTAGCAAGGTTTTCATATTAGTAAATGCTGTTCTGGCTTGCTCAATCCTGCTACGTATCTCTATGTCTGGATCTAGATCTTCAGTTATCCAACTGCCGAGATATCTGAACTTGGGGGGATGTTCTTGTTGTTTACTCTTATATTCAATTGCATATTTCGTGTTCTACTTACCACCATTACCTTCGTCTTGTCTATATAAATCTTCAAGCCCACTAGTTCTCCTTCAGGGTTTAAGACATTAAACCAGAATACAATAAATCGACTTATCGCGTTTCAAATATGGACATTTATAAGACTGCTAAGGATTCCGTAATTAGATAGAGTCATGAATGCAGAAGTGTTATGGAGAATAGGCAG